TACAAGCCTAAATACATATATTTGCTATCATATTCACTCCTGTACATACAGTTAACGGATCGGAGACAGTTAGGACTTAATAAGTAACACTTTTATTCATAATGTCTGTAACAAATGGCATCTTAAAATACAGAATTATACTATAAATATATGGGTTGACTACAAGAGTTCACTCCCAAGAATGTAACTGCATGAGTGACTAGTTTAGAGGACCATAAGGATTATATACCCTTGAATATAAAGGATTATATACCCTTGAATATAAAGGATTATATACCCTTGAATATAAAGGATTATATACCCTTGAATATAAAGGATTATATACCCTTGAATATAAAGGATTATATACCCTTGAATATAAAGGATTATATACCCTTGGATAGAAGGGGGGTGAAGAAATTCTGGCAGGTCCAGGAAGCCTGGGAAAGGGCTGGAGTTATGAGAAGTTATTTCCAAATTGATATTCTTATTCGTGAGAAAGGGCCTTTTGCTGAAATCTGTTCTTGTTTGTTAAGTCTTGATAATGAGTCTTGTTGTGTCCACTTAATGCCTTTTAGAAAACGACTTCTAAGCTATCAGAGAGAGCTTGCCTGGCTATCTAGGGATAGCATAGTCCTTTTGTCCTTTGAGTTGTGGGAGTTGTCAGGACAAAACATGATTCACCAATTGGCATACTTAACGAAATTAATTATTAAAGTAATGGTTAAATTAATATTATTATTATTATTACTTACGGATTAAGTCCATTCCGTAACTATACGAATACAGTTGTATTTACAGGTTTGGTAAAGAATATTGTTATATTCCCATAAAAGTATGTATAATATTTTTAATTAAAAATTAAATATTAATATTACAGCAAATTTACTGGACTAAATAAAAATATTTGCATCAAAATTTATGCCTTTAAAAATGCTTACACTTGTAATTAGAGGAGTAATAATGAACACGATAATATTCCTATAAAATTATGATTAGATATTCTTCTTTTTTTATCATATATTTATTTTCAAACAAATTTATATTAGATATTAAATTGGCAAAAATTAATATATTCAGAAATCCATGTCCTTCTCACCAGACATTTTACAACTGTTGCCCCGACCGGAATCCTGTAGAGATAGATGGTATTTTTTTCATGGAAAGACCACATAACGTTAAAGCTTCAAAGGAAAAATACCGCCATAATGTGACTGTTTAAAGGCTAGTTAATAATAAAAATATTTATTCTTAAGATTATGTGAATAAGACAATATTCTTTATTACGTATGTAAATACAACCATATTCGTATTTACAGGAGTGAAAAATTACAATATGTATTCTTTTTAAATTATAACGTATATAAACTTACAAAATGTAAGCAATAAAATATATAAATATTTTATCCCTGAAAGTACTATTGTTTCTGTATTTCCTTTCTTACCTCTCCTTATTCTTCCAGAGTAATTACAATTATTAAAATATTTATAGAAAGTAAATACAATTCCCCATTTTCCCCGGTCATTGGACACCCTGCTTCTAGGTGCTATTAAGCAGCCTAATATATTTTCCCTTCACTATTTGATGTGATCACCTATGAATCACTTTTCTAATTTACAGGACAAACTCCAAGCACCCAAGGTAGGTCACCTCTAGAAACTCATTTTCCCAAATACACTTTGGTAGGATTTAGTCCCATTTTCAGCATAAAACAAGTTCTTGTTACAGGTTGTTAAGCAAAAAGTAATTCACAGAGAGATTTCAAGGTAGTATTATTACAGATTAATTTATTTAACAATTGTTCAGGGACCAACCCCTGAAACACACAAAAAAAAATTGTACGATTCAGAACTTCACCACCATTTTGCTGAATACCATTCCTGTTGAGTTAATATGTTCATTAGCTGAAGTGTGCACATAGTCAGGTACTCTCCTCAGAAATCTCAAGAAACAAAATATGAGTTAGTAAACTTCAAGAGAACAGCCTGGTGGAGGAGGTATGGGGAGGAAGAAAGTAAACTTCAAGAGAACAGCCTGGTGGAGGAGGTATGGGGAGGAAGAAGAGGTGGCCAAAATCATGAATTCTCAATCCAAAATCATCTCAATTGCAGACAGTAAGTGAGTACAAATGGACAATTCAATTTCAATCAAACAAAATCACTTCTAATATTGCAATGCCATACTAAAAATTGTAATTTCACAATCATCAATATGTACTTAATCTGTCAAGAACCACAAAATTGTACAAAGGCATAAATTTTATTTCTTTTGTTTTATTCAATTATATAAATATAATCATGTTCTCAATCCTTTGTTTGATTTAATCAAGCATCAAACTTAGACACAAAAAAACAAAACAATTGTACAATTCAGAACTTAACCACCATTTTGCTGAAAACCATTCCTGTTGAGTTCATCTATTCATATATTAGCTGAAGTGTGCACACAGTCAGGTACTCTCTTTAGAAATCTCAAGAAAGAAAATATGAGTTAGTAAACTTCAAGAAAACAACCCTGGTGGAGGTCTGTCAAGAACCACAAAATTGTACAAAGCTTAAAGTGTAAATTGCTCAAACTTTATTTCTTTTGTTTTATTTAATTATATGCAATATAATCATGTCCTCAATCCTTTGTTTAATTTAATCAAGCATCAAATTTCAGTGGTCCAACCTCATACAGTCCACACCATTTTTTTACGATCACCTGAGCAACATAATTCAATTACAGATCAATGGGTAATATTTGGCTCACATGAATTTACTGTGATCAAACAACGATTATTACAGATAAATATATCACTTCCCTTAAGAGCCATAAAAAAATATTTAAAAAATAGATCTGTGTGTATTATTGACAGTATATTATCACATTACTGTTATTTTCTATATAAATATTGAAGATTAATTCCAATAATGTGAATCTAAATTCACCATATTTGAATAATTTAGCAGCTAGTGTACCATTGCCATATATATACATCTAAAAAAATTTAAACAAGATACAGATTTTTATTTTCTCCAAATAAACTTGAAATAATTTAATAATAATAATAGATTTATTCTGGGAGTTCCATTAGAATAATACAAAAAGCCATAAATGTGGACTAAGTAAGTAGCCTCAAAGATATATAAACAATAATCACAAAGTAAATAAACAGTCATAATAAAAAAGTATCAGTTACTTTCTTACTTTAATAAATTAATAAAAAAATTTAAAAAATTAGAAAACGTGAAGTAAAAATAATGAAGAACGATCTAACAATTTATATACATATTTACAGTATTATCTATTTACAATTTTATAGGGATTATATGGATAAAAAATTATTGAACAGGCGGGATTTAAAGATAGGGAAGGCATAGGAGCAACGGATGCAGGAAGGGTTCCATAGGGATGAGGATCGGATAATGAACGATGTGTCGAAAGCAGCGGTTCGGTGGGTCGTAGTAAAACATATGTAGATCTCAAGTTATTTATTTATTAAGCAAAGTAGTTTATCAAATGTTTTAGTTTTGCTTCGCCACCAGACTATGAGCTAAAAGAAATAGCACTAGAAACTGTAGCTCAAAAGTACCCTCCTCAGGATTGGCTTCATATCTACACCGATGGATCAGCTGAATCAGCCGTCAAAAATGCTGGAATAGGGATTTACTCGAGAGAGTTTCAGTTTAGTGATGTAGTGGGTGAGGATGGTACGAATTTCGACAGTGAGATTGCAGCGATCCTCATTGCCCTAAGAACACAATCAGGAAGGCCAGTTCAAGGCGCTGTTCTCTTCGTCGACTCTTAAGCAGCAATCCTCGCTGCTGTTATTAACATGAATGAATGTTTGTCGAGTGCTATCTTGGAGTGCAAATTCCTCCACTTTAACACTCCAAGACAACAATCTGGTCCAACAGTGGATTCCAAGCCATTGTGGGATTCCAGGAAATAAGGAAGCAGATAGTCTCACCAAGAGAGGAGCAGAATTGCTTAAACCAATTCATCCAAAATATTAAGATTCAATTCGGCGAATCGTGAGGATGGTAGTGAAGAAGAAAAAAATATATATACAGAGACAGGGTTTATAATATATGGTTTATAGAAGATGGAAGGAAGACGTTATAAATGTTCGATGGAAAACCCGATCCCAGCTGACCTACCAAGAAGAGACGCAGTAGTCTTCCGCCTGGCGACTGGTCACGATAATCTATAAAGTCATCTCCATAAGATAAGCATGGCTGAGGATCCTAGGTAAACTATGTGATCAAGCAAAAATGGATGCAGACAGCCTAGAAACATGTTCTGCTTTGACGAACATAAGAAATAAAACATTTGTAAATGAATATTTGAAAAAATCAAACTTATACTGAGCAGATAGGTGTCGGAAGGTCGAATGATCAATGACTTCGGCATAGGGGTGAAAAAAAGTTTTGCGTCGAGGTCCCCAAAGACGCTCCCATATACCTACAGCAATAATCAAAGTGGGGAAACATTAAGGACTTGACTAGGAGCCTACGGGTTTCAAATGGAAATAGGTGACGGAGGTAATTTTAGACGTTTTAAGATGGAAAAGGTTATTCTTAAGTTCTTAATAGTAGGATAAAATTGTATGGGATTATCATGCAGGAACAGGATTGGAATATTAGGAACAGTTTTAAAGAGGTGATTGGAGCCAACAAGGATTGCCTTCGTCTTCTCCGCATTCAACTTTAACTTGTTAACTCCTGCCCAGTCACAAACTCTATTGAAATCTTCTTGACGTTTTTTTGTGGCTGGTAATAGGTCAGAAGGTAGGAAGGACAGGTATATTTGGAAATTGTTTCCATAGATATGGTATTGGGAGTGATGGATCAGGAGGGGAAGGTCATTAATGTAAATAGCAAACAGAATAGGGGATAGAGAGGAATCTTGAGGAACACCACAGGGAGGGGAAGTGTCTTAGAAGGAGGTTGACAGAAGAATTTGGAAGAGTTGATTCGCACATCTTTTATTTATTTCATTATAGTACTTTTATTGCATTTAATTTTATAAGACTTACCACAATATAAATGTCCACAGTTTGTTTCCAATGCAAGAGATTGTCCACAAAGACAAATAGGACAACAGTTAGGGTTATAAATTGGGGGACGAACACCATCTTCTACTTCATTAACTTCATCTGTCAAAATAAAAGATTGTAAAGTATATTACCAAGTATCTTAATCATAGCTTATTAACATTATAAGAAATATTATAGTTAATAATAAAACAAGCTATGAGATATACTAAGTATGGCATAAATTATATTCAATAAATAACTAAATAAAATATACTGTTTTATACTTGTATTTATATTTAGATTGTTTATATCAAGTCAAATAAGTATTAATTTGTCAAATCAAAAATCTGTCCATCTTTTAAATTTAACTAGGATATTATAAATTTCTAATTACAGTTACAGGGTGTCCAGCGATTCTCCTCCGAAAAATTCTCGTACGTTTCCAGGTTTTTGACGTTTTTTTTCGGATTTTTCCCGGTTTTTCAGATTTTCACTGTTTTTTTTTAGTTTTTCTAGTTTTTAACCTGTAAATACTACTGTTTCTCATGAGGCATTTGGTTTCAAAACAGATTACATCGATTTAATTTTTAAAAAATATTTTTTTTTTTTTTTTCACAAATGTTAAATGTTTATTTTTATAAACTTAGATGTATTTGTTTCAAAACCATTTAGATCTTCCCAAAATCAATATCAAAAGATTCGATTTCCTATCAAAAGTGGTTCTATACAACCTTTTTTGACCAGTTCTAAAGCATTTTTGAAAATGGATGTAGTCGGTTTTGAAACCAAACGCCTCAAATAAACAATAATGAGTACAGCTGCCTACAGTGTCACGTAAGCTCTTGCACATATATAATATAAATATATATAATATATAAATTTATTATTATTATTTTTTTTTAAGAGTCACTATATCAAATAGGTTTTGTATATAAATCGAGATTTTTTTTTTTTACTTTCTCCCCCGAGGAGGACAGAGGATTAATGTCAGTGTTTGAAGTCCCTACGAGACCGGAACGGGAACTCGTAATTATTACATCTTGTAAACTTCTGTTTACCATGTTGCCGGGCCTCTCGTGTTTTGTACACGCGTTAGCTCGCTCAGCCACCCCGCCCTATATTTAAATTGACTTGGAGTTTGAGAAGTGCATTTTGACACTTACAATTTTTAAAGCTTTACGCATTTCCATGGCCTCTCTAAATTAAAGTATGGTGTTAGAAATTTGTAAATTGAATTGATGTGAGAAAAGTTCCTTCTAAACTCTCAACTTTTTCTTTCCCTCTCCCCCTCTACTTCCCGACATTTCTATAAATTTAATTCAGAACTAAATAATAAAATGTTCAAAAACAAAACATGAAAAACATATTCAGCAGCTTAAATGATTTGAAAATCATATTTAAAACCCCAAGAAAGTTTTTTATTAAACGCCCTGCCGTTGGCTATTAGGCCATTCGGCTTCTGGCAGCCCAGTACAATTCCGCCATGAATCGTTTGTTTACATTTGTTCCGATCCCATCAGAAGTACTGCGGACATCTGACAGAGCGGGGCAAACTGGGAGGTGCAGGTCGTACATCTCGTCCTGTTGGCAAAGAGGGCACACAGGACTTTCCACCACTCCGATCCTATGTAAATGCCTTTGCAGGTAATCGTGCCCTGTTGCCATGCGGAAGTTTGCCACCGATTCTTTCCTATTTTTGGTTTGTTTTATCGGCTCCTCTGTTAAACATTCCCATTTTTTCCCCGCTGCCTGTCGCTTTTGCCAACTCTTATTCTCTTCCTTGTAAAATGATTTTAAAATCCTTTTAACAGATTCGTAGGGCAGCGGGGGATTAGTTTGTGGCATTTCCGAGGCGACCCGTGCGAGCTCATCAGCTTTTTCGTTTCCTGGTAGCCCGCAATGGCTTGGAACCCATTGGAAAGCCACTCGGATTCCTTTTTTAATTAAGTCATTAATCCGATTTCTGGCACTAGTGATATCAGGATGGTCCAGGCCATTGCAGATCGACAGTATGGCTGCTTGTGAATCGACAAAGATCACAACTTGGGAATAGGTGAGTTCTTTTTCTATTGCAGTCAATGCTGCCGAAATGGCTTTGACTTCTCCATCAAAGTTTATTCCCCGGCTACTAGCAGGGATGGATAACATGAAATCTTGGCAGTATACTCCTGCTCCTGCATTCCGCGTAGCTGTTTGAGCGGAGCCGTCGGTGTATACGTGGAGCCAGTTCTGCTCGGAATAGCGGCTATTTATTGTTTCCAAAGCAAGAGCTTTCAATTCCCACTCAGGTGTTTGGTGTTTCCTCACTGGTTGTGTTAGATCTATCCGTGCCTCTGCAATAAATCTTTGATGGTCACTGCATTTATTAAATGGCAGACTCATGCCTAGATCTAGGTGATTTCTTTCCAGTAATTCTATAACTTTTACTCTTAGTGGTTTTTGCGTCTTGAGGCGCTGGACAGATGTTTCTTGAGCAGCCCAGTACTTCAAACCTAGTCTTTTCATTCTGTCTGTAAGGCAGATTGCTGCTACTTCTCTCCTTGTTTGAAGTGGTTCTATTCCCGTTTGTAGCTGGAGTGCTGCAATTGGTGTGGATTTCGCAGCCCCTGTAATCAGTTTCAAAGCCTTGTTTTGCACCACATCCAAGGCATGCATGCAGTGAGTTTTCTGATGCAGTCAATAATATCTCACCACCATATTCCATTACTGGTCTAATGTATGACTTGTATGCCAGGGTTAGTAATTCTTCGTGAGCGCCCCATTTAATTCCTGCCAGTCTTTTTAGCAAGCTTAATCTGCCTTCTCCTTGCTCAATTAATTTATCTAAATGGTACTTCCAAGTAAGTTTGCAGTCTAATTTTATACCCAAGTATGTTACAGAATCAGTCTGAGTCAGCTTCTCATTATTATATATAATATCTACTTCTTGTTTTTTAGTCGAGAGGGTAAAGATTTGATAATGAGTTTTGATAGTATTAACCTCAAACTGGTTGTCCACCGTCCATTTATGTAATGATATTAAAACATTATTTAAGCAACATTCAATAGCTTTCATGTGGCTACTAGTAGCCCAGATAACTAAGTCGTCTGCATAGAGAAGTGTTTGAACTCCGGGAATAGCTTCTAGTATTTCAATTACATCATTAATCATAATGTTAAACAAAATTGGACTTAAAACTGCACCCTGGGGGACTCCTTTTCTTGTCTGTTTATAAGATGAAACTACACCATTATATTTTACCCGGATATGTCTCTGCGCTAAAAAAGAATAAATGCATTTGAACATATTACCTGCCACACCCATATTTCTAATTTTTAGTAACAGCATTTCTCTCCAGACTTTATCAAATGCTGCTTTAAAGTCTACAAAAATCGCCAATGTACTTTGCTTTCTGTGGAAACCATTTTTTATTTCATGTGAAAGGTATGCCATGTGCTCCACCGTGTTCCTGTGTTTTATAAATCCTGCTTGTTAGTCAGAGATAGCTCGCTTAATTTCCATGAAATTCTCAAGTCGAGACAATACTAGTCGTTCAAACAATTTTGAGAGCATGCTGGTGAGGGCGATTGGTCTACAGTGTTCTGGTTTGTTTGGAGTCTTGTCTTTCTTAGGGATAGGGATTATTTCAGTCTTCCGCCATGCACATGGCAATCCTTTTCTCCAGATCTTGTTCATAAACCGCAGGAGAATAGCCCTCGCAGACTTCCCAAGATGTTTTATAAATTCAGGAAGGATATTATCTGGCCCTGCGCTTTTTTTACATGGCATCTTTTCAATAGCTGAATTTAACTCAGTAGCAGTGAATGGGGAACAAAAAATCGACGTTTCTGATTCATTGAGACAGGTTGCAGATTCTTTAAATTTCACTTTCTGAATGGGTCTTGTATGGTAATTACTAGCCTTGGAGTAATATGAACAGAAGAACTTGGCAATAGCCAAATCCGATGTAAGATTTTTTCCGGACGCCGTAACAAAAGGATTATTCTTCTTAGTTTCTGTGTTCTTGTTGATTTTAGAAAGGAAGCGGTGAGCTTGGACTCCATCTTTCCTAAAATCTAGCTTTTCCAAGAATTGTCTGTAGCAGCTTCTTTTAGCCTCAATTATTTCCCTTCTCAGTAAAGCTCCTGTAGCTTTCAGACGTGTTTTATCACTCTCCTGTCTGCTGTTTTGATATATTTCTCGGGCAGCATTTCTATCCTCCTTCAATCTCTGCAGATGACCATTCCAGAAAGGAGAATATTTCTTAACGCAACCTCTAGGAATAGTTTCTGTGCCACATTTTAAGATTGTTTCACATATTTTCTTATTAATAACATCAACATTACCTTGTATTACATGTTCATTTAACTTTAAATCACATATCTTGGAAAATAATTTCCATTTAGCTTTTTTCAAGTTTCATTTGGCTAATCGAGGTTCAGAGAGTCCACTAGTATTATGGGTCCTAATTATTATTTTTAATATCTTGTGTCCTAATTCTCCTGGTGCATGTTCCACAGAACAGTGAATGTCATTTTTTAAATTCGTGTGAGTCAGAATTGCATCCGGATTCCTAGTATTGCCCCGCTATGAAATAAACGTTGGGCTGTTGTCTTCTCTTCTAATAATTTCTACTGGGCTCGAGTCAATGAAATCCTCAAAAATCCTACCAACGGCTGATGTTTGGTTATAATCCCATCTCGTGGATGGGGCATTAATATCGCCATACAAAACGTCTTGGGATCCCCACTGAGCTTCAAGCCAGGATAGGTCTGGTCTATTCATTGAGGGGTTGTACATTACATAAAACCTCCTATGGATTTTATTTTTCCAAACATCTAACTGTACAGCCTCCAATTTATCATCCTCTTCCATCTTCTTTTTAATTGAAAAGGTTACCTTGAGGGATGATTTAGCAGCGACAATTATTCCTGATGCAACCTGCCTGGATCTCTGCAGTTTATAAGTTTGATAACCCGGCAATTGGTAGTACTGGATATTTTCAGTAGATGAGCCGGCTTCTATGATCCCATATAAATCAGCATCCTCCTTTGTAATGATCGTCTTCCATTCGGTGAATTTGTCAGCAGTTAGGCCACCAGCGTTCCAGAACATAGCCTTAAGCTGTGTGTTGACTGGG